CCCCCCCCCCCCAAGAAGAGCAGCGAAGGAAATACCCCCTGCGGCAGCCCCGCCGTGGTCCCTCCGTCCTGCAGCCGGTGCGGAGCGCGTAATCCCGCGGAGGATGCTCGGGGAGGCGGGGTGTGGGATGCGGCCCCCCCGCGCTATGCGGAGGGAGGTGGAAATGATATATATATATAAATATATATATATATAAAATATATATATAGAGAAAAGAAAAGGAAAGGGGGGAGGAGGGGGGGGCTGGAGCCAGGCCGGCGGGTTGGAGAGGAGCGGGCGGCCGGAGGGTGCGGAGGGAGCGCGGAGCAGCCGGGCGGGCGCTGCGCGGAGCGCGGAGCTGTCAGCGGCGCCTTCTCATTTATCATTAGCCAGCCCTAATCTTGCTCGCTGTCCTCCTTCGGTGATGTTGATCCACTTTCCCTCCCTCCTCCCCCAGCTCCCCCCCCCCTTTCCCCCCCCCCCCCCCCCCCGTAAAGGATTATTCAGCCAAAAAAAAAAAAAAAATCCCAGCTGCTGACTCCGTGCGCCGCAAACAAGGCGGCTGCAGCCCTCGCCCCCAGCCCCGCTCCCGCAGAGATGCTCCGGGTGTTGTCCGCAGAAATGCTGCCTTTTAAAACAAGCAGCGACCCGCGGGGAAAGAGCCTCCAGCCCTGCCCAGCTCCCCCCGCACCCTCCACCCGCTTTGGGGGGGATGCTGGGGGGGAACCCCCTGCTCTGACTCCCCCAAACCCCACTGCAGAGAAAGGATGCTGCAGAGCTGGGTGCAGCTTTGCAGGGAGAGAGAGAGAGAAAAAAAAAGATATTAAAAAAAAATTAAAGCACCAATTTTGGATGAGGCTTCGCTCTCTCCCCCCTCCCCACCCCCAGCACTGCTGGTTTCATGGCTACGCTACTGTAATTATGAATTCTTCTTCTTGCACTCGCGTGTGTGCAGGGGCTGGGGGTGGCAGTGGCTGTGGCTGCGGGCTGACATCACTGCAGTGGCGTGGGGCTGACAGCTCTCAGCGCTGCGCAGCCTGCAGTGCCTCCTCGGCTTTTTTTGCAGCCTCTCTGCTGACAATTGTGGGGGGAAAGGGGTGGCGAATAATAATAATAATAAAAAAAAAACCCAAACCAACCCCAACCGACAAACCCACCCCGTCTCACCGCGTTCAAGGTGAATTTCAAGGAGAGGAGCGCGCTTTTTGTTTACGGTGAGGTCCTGCCGGTGAGGAGCGCACGCCGTGGCTACCTACACATCTCCAGCCAGGGATGCATCTATGTGTTCCCGGCATCAGCGCCCTGTTAGACCCTGTAACCTTGTCAGGGCGCTGCGCAGCCTAACCCAGGCTAAACCCCCGGCTCAAGCAGGCTCTGAAGGCAGGAAATCCTTTATTACTCGCCGGGTGATTTCGTGTCAAGGGCATGTGCCCGCTCCTGGGATCTCTCCGCACAAGCCGCAGCTCCGCTGCCGCTGAGCTCATTCCAGCGACGCACCCGCGCCGCAGCGCACGGATATTCCTTCCCATTGCACGGAGACAAATACAAGCCTCTTTTTTTTTTTTTTTTCCTCCCCAGTGGAGGCCTAGAAGTTGTTGAGAAAAACCTGCATGGAAGCAGGAGCAGGCGGCTCCTACCCCGAGAGTGTGTCTGTATCTTCGGGGCTGGGTGGGAGCGTCCGGCTCTGAATAAGCACAAGAGCACATTGGGCCCCCCCCAGGTGTGGTTGGGAGCCTTGGCCCTTTCTCCTTAGTGTTTCCCATTTTGTTTCCCATTGCTATCAATGACATTTCATCTGATGCACCAAATCAGAGGAGTTTTCAAAAAAATTCTGGAAATTAGATGTCAAAACCTGTCCGTGAGAGCACCACAACCTCCCCGCCTGCCCTTTATAATATCACCCCCCTCCAAGGGTGACACAATATTAGCTTAAAAAAAAACCCGACCCTATTTACTCCTCATATACCTCCTTTGAGCTGTTTGCAATGCAAATAAGGAATCGTAAGGAGCAGATTTGAAGGTCTGGCTGACAGAAGCCAACAGCCAGAGCATCCCTCTGAGACCGCCACGCTTCCAACCGCAGCTGGAGCCACGGGCCACGGGAGCCTCCGTCCCTGCCCGGCAGGCAGCTGCCCGATGGGGACCAGGGATGGGGTCACAGCAGCACGTAATTCATCTCCTCCTTGGTTCCCTGCCTCGGAGATTTATGGAGAGCTGAGCTGTGTTATTTAGAAATAAATAGATGTGTTTCATGGGAGGTTGGAGGTGAAAAGTCGTCATTTCAATACCCCTCCAAAATTGCTTCTCTATATTTTTTTATAAGTAGCGGGGTTTTATCTCTCGGCAAAACCCTCCTTTGGAGCATCCCAAAGCGCATTGGGAATGTGTATAAGCACCAATCCAAACGGCAATTTGAAGGAAGGAAATGTAACGCCCTCTTTAAGCAGGGAAACTGAGGATCAGGGGCCTTGGGGACATTTTGCTGCTCATCCTTCGTGGCTTCAAATGGAAGTGGGACGCCTGAGCTGAGCCATGGAGACGGACCCATGGATGGAAACCATGAGGGATGCAGACCCAGGACAGGGATTGCACAGCCTGGAGCCCTCAGCACTGGGCAAAATGGCTTTGCCAAATGGACACGGGGATTTTCTCCCTGAATTTCAGCTCACACGGAGCTGGATGGCGCGTTATAAACCTGCCCTGGATTAAAGCTCAAAGGGATCTTCCAGGGTCTTTTCCAGCTCACCCTCCTGCCCATCACGTCGGCCAGGGATATTTAAAGCCCACTCTGACCCACTCAAAAATACATTACGCTCCCTTAAAAACATAAATCCTTGGACTTAACTGATGATCCATCCCCTCCCTCTGCACTATTAGCACATTAAGAAATTAAACGATAAAACTCCCAAAGATCCGATTGACCAGGATCGCGCCGCTCCATATGGCACGGCATATGTGTCCGGCCCTCCTGCGCATCCCAGCCGGGATCGCCTGGATTCTCACTCAGGCAGGCTGGGATGGGAAAAGGGTTTCCAGGCAAATTCGGATGGATTTAGACTTACTTTTTTTTTTTTTTCCTTCACGACATTTCACTTCCCTGCTCCACCCCCAGCGCCAGAGGAAAAGCTGTGGAGGTGATGTATGTCCCTAAATAAGGATGCAGAGCTTGGCTCTGCTGGAGGAGGTCAGGTGAGGCTATTTAACGCTTTGCAGGCTCCTCCAAGATGATGGGCTTTAGAAAACAACTCCAAATCCCAAAGGTACATCCCCAAAATCAGCTGGAGCCGATGGTAGAGATAACACCAAGGGAATGGGTCCCTGCAGGTGGGTGCTGAGCACCCGGCTTGGGGGGAAAAAATTCCCTTTCCTGCACTCCCCGCTCCCTGATAAATCCCATTGCAGCAAACAAAGGGCTCTGGGCCTCACTGGGAGTTTTCCCTGAGCCACAACACAGGGTTTCTAAAAGCCTTTACAAGCTTTTTCACTGCTTTGGTGGAATCTAAACCTTGTTTTTTCAATTTCTCTCAAGGGTTCACCTGAATTTTTAAGTGCTGGGAGGTGAGATGGGAGCTTGGTTCATCCCTGTGCCCGGCACTGCGGGATGGACGGACACAGTCTGTACCACAAAACTTTAGCTCTAAACATGACCTAAACCAGCTTAGCAGGGATCTACATGAAGGAAGGGATTAACCCCCCTCGCCCTCCAACCAGGAGCAACAAATCCCATTAACACCCCATCCCTGGGAGGGGAGATCTGCATCCACTGGTCCCCGAAATAGGGACCCGTTGCATTTATTGAGTTATTTATTTCAAATAAAGATCCCATCCTGTGGCAATGTCTCCTGCAGAAGCTCTGTAGGGAGAATTAGGAATCTTTTTTAGTGGGAAGCATCGGCGTCGCTGCGAACCAGCCTGGCCGAGTTATCCTGGAGCGACGCCTGTGTTGGCTGCTCACCTCCTAAATAGTTAATTCCTGGAGACGGCAACAAGGTTAAACATCGGGATCAGATGCAGTCACCTATAGCTCCCCTTCCTGCAGGATTTCTCGGGGTTATCAGGAGCAAAATTCAGCAAGAGGGGGATGAAAAATCTCCCTCTGCTTGAAAATCCCGGCTCGCTCCCAAGTCATTTGCTTTAGAGCAGGAGAATTACTCACCGAGGTGATAGGTAGGAACCGTGCAAAATATAGTGGGGGGAGAAAGAAGCTGTTCGAGACAACAGCAGGAGAAGAACTCCGTTATCTATGGAAACAGTCTGGAGACTGATTTATCCAGCGTATAAATAGAGCGGGAGAGGCTTTCACGATGGAGACGCTCCGATGGGGAAGCGAGTGTTGATTTTACCCTCCCTTTCGCGTTCGGCTTGATATGAAAATTTGCCATTGATGTGGCAGCTCTGTGGAGTGAGACATCGCACCGAATTCCGTCGGAAATGGGCCCAAACTTTCTCCCCTTGATGCTGTGCAGACACGGGATGTGATTCCAGCAGTCCCCCCCTTTCCCATTCCTCTCAACCAACATCCCACCTCCCCCCAGAGCTGCCCACTGTGAGCCCCCAGATATTATTGCTTTGTTTGCTACTGGGTTGTGTGGAGGATGAAAGACCAGATCCCTATTCCAAGGACTTTTTTTTTTCCCTTCCACTGTTTAAATACTATTATTTCATCTACTGGCTGTAGAAGAAAAAAAAAATCCAACAAACAAAACACCCCAAATCCCTTGTACTCCATGATTTATTTCTGAATTTTCCTAAAGGGGGGGAAAATTCTCTAAAGGTCTCTAAGCTTCAGGTTTAAAATAATGCATCGAATTTGAGGAAATTCTATTGGAATGAGCACAAGGAAATGAGGAAAAATGCAGAGTTGGGCTGAAGCCTTGTTAAACCTTTTGAGGAACATAACACGTATTTTAGAGAATAAAATGTGTGAGTAGAAGGGAGATTTCATGGCTTGTCTGAACTATACCTGGAACGTCGGACTTTGGGAGCCACAAACCCCATTGTGTCATTTGTCCCCTTCGTGTTTTGTGCCTCCATCATTTTATGACTATTTGCAAAACTGATTAAACCCAAAAACCCTCCTTGCCTTGCTGGAATTCGCCCTTTATTTTCCAAGCTGCCACAGCAGCAATGGCCTTGAATTCCCGCTGCTCCCGTTTTCCACGGAGATCTCCCGGTGTATGTGTTATCCTGGCTCCTATTGTTCCATAGGTCAGCCCTGAATCAGGTAAAAGCCCTTTCCAGTCCCTTTTGTGCCGTATCCCACACTATCAATGTCTGCCTAGTGTGTGTTTCCCATACGCAGATTCCACTGCCATGGAGCAGCAGATGGCTCAGGTAGCGGATTTAAAAGCTGTCCCAACCCACCCCCAGGCCTGACCTATATCCAGGATGAACGGATGGATGCCAGGAATACCTTTGCTTTCCCCTATGTCCATCATATATCTCCAGGTTTTC